GCCAGCATGGGACTGAATGTGGGTGTCAGTGATGAGGCCTCAGCAACCTATGGGGTTTTGGATAGTAGATCAGTATTTAACCCTGGCATACAAATGCACTTTGGGAGCCCATTCCACATGGAGGGATGCTCTCTCAGCCTGGACACATGGGGGAGGGGCTAGGCCCTGCCCGGGATGGTATGACAGATTTTGAAGATTCCCCATGAAGGGCCTCAACCTACCTGGGGAGTGGAGGGGGGATGGAGTGGGGGGTTGGTGGGGTGCGGGGGAGGAGGGGAGGATGAAGGAGCTGGGATTGACATGTGAAGCAAGCTTGTTTCTAATTTAAATAAAAGATAAAAAATGAATACAGGAAATCATGCTTTTATTACTTAAAAAATGATGTGTGTGTCCACAGCATGGATGTGGCAGTCAGTTCTTTTCACACGGGTCCCAGGGACCAAACTCATGTCTTCAAGCTTGGCAGCAGACAGGCAGCTTTAGCACTGAGCCAACCTGCCAGCCCTGGGGCTTCTTTGGAAAATTTAGAAATAACAAATAACGACAGAATTCTTTTTGGGGGGGTTTCAATACAGGGTTTCTCTGTATTGTTTTGGAGGCTGTCCTGGAACTCACCGTTACTGAAATGGGAGGATTCTCCCCACACCTTCTTTCAAAAGGGCTTCCCTGTGTAGCCCAAGAGGGCTTCCTGAGTGCTAGGATTACAGGTGTGCACCACCACAGCTGACTAGAGCTTCAGCCCTCTTTTTAGGAATGTGTTTTTACTGCTAAATTTAACCACCTCATACATGCATGCTTACATATTTTAAAGTTAATAAATGGTGGATTTATGGATTTTTAGTGAGCTACTCAGTTTCTTTGTGTCTCCTCCCCGTGTTCACTTTCCCATTTCAGGCTCTTCACCCCTCCACACCTACCTTGGTGACTGATGCTCCTCACCTAGTCAACATCCCCACCCACCCTGGCTCAAGCAAACATGATGTGATCTGTATACATGGGTCACTTGTATGCATATGTAGTTTTATCAGTTTGCTTTGCCACAGAATTGTAAAATCTATTATTTTAATAGCTATTTTATTTGAGTGTACACCACACATTCTGTAAAGCCATCTGCGTCTGGGGTCACTTTTTTTTTTTTTTTTTTTTTGGTTTTATGAGACAGAGTTTCTCTGTTTTGGAGGCTGTCGGTCCAGCCTGGCCTCGAACTCACAGAGATCCGCCTGCCTCTGCCTCCCGAGTGTTGGGATTAAAGGCGTGCGCCACCAACGCCCGGCTTGGGGTCACTTCTTACTGACAATTTTATTTCCTATGTACGTGGGCCTTGCTTTCTTCAACCACATCTCTACTGTTGAGGAGTCCAACCGTTATTATAGAGAAGTACTTTTTATAAAACTTTCCTGTAATTAGTTCCTGATTTCTATCCCTAGGTATTTATTGCTAGAGAAAGGTTACTACTTATTTGTGTATTTATTTTGTATCCAGTTACCATACTTTTTCATTAATCAGTAGTCATTTTTATGTACTAGCTTACTAGTCTTTCAAAACCTCTGGGAGAATAATCACAGGTTTGTTTTCCTAATACATCTGTTATTGCCTCTGTGTTTGTGTGTGCGTGTGTGTGTGGAGACCAAAGGTTGACATTAGGTGACCTTCCTAACTTGCTCTCCACCTTCGTTTTTGAGACAGGATCTTGAACTAGAACTGGCTGATTCTGCTAGACTGGTTTGCCAGTAAAACCCTGGAATTCTGGGTGCAAACTACCAAACCTGCTTTTTATGTGTTAACTCTGTAACAGGATTAAACATCAATAGTAGGAGCAGTGCTCTTATTCATTCATTCATTCAATTTTCCTCCCTCCTTCCCCCCCTCCCATCTCAAGCACTTCTGGACTCTTTGAGACAAGATCTGTAGTTCAGGCTGGCTTCTAACTTGTTATGTTGCAAAAGATGAACTTCAACTTCTGACCCTTCTACTTCCACCTCCAGACTGCATGTGCTACCACACCCTTTTATGTGACACTGTGGAACAAACTCAGAGCTTCTAGCATTGGAGGTAAGCAACTGAGCTATACCCCAAGCCCCACATTCTTATTTTAATTGAAATACCATTTAGAGTTTGGTTAATGTTGGATTTGGTAAGTAGTCTCTGTTATATTGTATACAACTGCAATTTCTATGGTGTTTTAATTAGGAATCACTGCTGTAGTTTTCAAATACATTGCTATGATGACATTTTCTCTTCTACTTATATTTAGTGACTTATGTTGACAGATCCCTATTGTTGACATATCCTTGCATTCCTAGAAAAAGTTCTAGTTGGTCTTATTTTGCTCCAACATACCCTGACTTTATTTGTTAAACTCATATTAGGAATTTTTGCATCTGAATTCCTAAGTCTACAGTTGCATCTTTTAAAAAGTCTTACTTAAGCACTAACTTGACATCAAGACAATGTATTCTAAAACCAGAAATGTTTTCTGTATTTTGCTATCATCACAACTGAGTTTTATCATTGGACTAAATAAATGAAATTCATTTGTAATCTCTTTGGCTCTAGTGCGTTTTTCCAGTTTTAGATCCTTTAGCCACTCTTATAGTGCCCTTTGTGGCCAGTTTATTCTAGTTTTCCACTTCTCAATGCTTTTGATAATTTGTTAGGAAGTTCCAATGTCTCTACATTTTAATGTGCTGCTAGGGCTTGTCATCTTCTAGCATCCTTAAAAAGACTGTGTCTTGTCATTACATGATAAAAGTTGGGCACATATAACCTTGAACTCTACCTTGTCTGACATGGACATTTTTCATTCTTGTTCCTATTTAAATCTTACATTTGCTTATTTTCTCTTCGATGCCTTTTACTTTCCAGCCCTGTGTGTTCTGTACACACAAGAGATGTCCTCTGGTCACTCAGTAGCTGTAAGGCCAAGAGTCAGTGACCTTTAGATACTCTGAGTGTCAGAACTGGCAGCTCAAGTGTGGTGATGTTGGAGCAAGCATCACTACAGCCCTGCTTGCCTGCTACCAAGTTCCTGGGCTGGGGCTGGACCACAGATGCCTTTGAGTTGAGCAACGTGGGCGAGGAAGATGCTCAGAAGGACTTTGTCAGGAGCCTTGGCTCACTTGCCCTGCTGAGAACTCCCTGGATTCTGAAACCAGTTCTCACTAACATTCAGCCTTTGCAGATACCAGGAATGATTCTTTTCCTGCTGGGTTCTGCAAGGCTTAGTCCTAGAAACCTGGTCTTGAGGGAATAAAGGGAGGACAGATACATGGACATGGAAAAGCTGGGGTGATGTGGGCTGTGTGCACTCTGATGGCGCGGCATTACTTACTGCACCAACCCAGAGCCCAGCATGTTCATTCCTAACGGCACAGGGGAGGAGTTAGCTGGTCTGTGTAGGAGGTCTCTGTGAACGAGGGTGACGATACAGTTGCTAGAGGAAGGCTTTGCCAGTTTCCTGTGCGTCTGATGCCATTGTCCCGGACACAACGGTGCCCATGACAACACACATCCACTCAACCTCATTTGCTCCTTACACATCCACTAGGGACTTTCTTAGCCCTCACAATCTCCTGCTGTTTCAGAACATGGTAGTTTTGTTTGTGGACACAGGGGAGCTGGGTCTGGCTGTACTCTGAAGCCTCAGAGGGGCACCTACCTTCCTTCAGGTCTGGGTGTAAGCCCTTTAGCATGAAGTGAAAAGCAGGAGACAGGAACTTGGAGGGAAAGTCTGTCCCAGGGTTGTGGTTTCTTCCTATGAAGCAGCTACCCAGGAACTCTCAGGCCCACATTTCATCCTGTATAAACCCCCAGAGTCCCATAGCCAAGGCATGTCATTGGTTCAGACATGCCTGGGCTATGACCGGTTATCACCAGCACATGGATTTGCCCTTAAGGAGCTGGGCCTCTGTTCTTTTTCTTTCTATGACAAGAAAGTGGCAAGGATTACCCATGGTTCATCCTTCTGTACCATTAGTCTGAGATCCTAATTATTTCTGTGAAGGCAACTTTGAAGTCTTGAAGGCAGGGACCAAGCTCCCAGACAGCCTTTCAGTACCTGCTTCAGGCTCACAGAGCTTGCCTTGGAGCCTTGCCTCATAATCTGCTATCAAGCCATCAGGTTATCAGCAAGCAGGACAACTTGTTGAGTCTTTTCATACCCTCCCTTCACCTGGCTCCTTGACCACAAAGGACCAGGAATCTATCCACAGGTCATTTACATCTTCCAGTGCTCATCACTTAATTCCAGGTCTGCTGTTACATCCTAGTGTTCTCTGGTCACTCCATAAAAATGGCTCCTTGAGGAGACAGGAAAAGGGCCCTTTTTCTTTCTTTTTTTTTCTTCTTCAGCTGCAGGTCACATGACCAACATTTATGCTTCGGGGTAAGAGCATGAAGGTGGGACTCAGTTGCTATGCAATATTATTTTAAGATGTGTTACATTTGTTTATGCTGTGGAACATTTGTTTTAATGATGCAAAGATGTGTTGCATTGTTTCATGCTGCATTTGTTAAACTCTGTGAAGCTGTGATTCTTTGCCTGTCTAAAACACCCGACTGGTCTAATAAAGAGCTGCACAGTCAATAGCTAGGCAAGAGAAAGGATAGGCAGGGCTGGCGGGCAGAGAGAATAAATAGGAGGAGAAATCTGGGGGGGGAGAATGATAGGGGAGCAGGGGGAGGAGAGGACAGCAGGGGCCAGCCACCCAGCTACACAGCAAGTCATGGAGTAAGAAGTAAAGAAAAGTATACAGAAACAGAGAAAGATAAAGGCCCTGGGGCAAAAGATAGACTGGATAATTTAAGAAAAGCTGGCTAAAACCAAGCCACGCTAAGGTCGGGCATTTATAAGACAGAAAAACCTTCTGTGTGATTTATTTGGGAGTTGGGTGGCCAAAGAGTAAATAGTGAAAAACAAACAGCACCCCGTGGTACCCCAAACCCCACAGCAGCTTTGCCCACCCCAGCCTCTCCACGTGCAAGAACACGAACAGACTCTGTTCAAAACAGTTTATTTTATTATTTTTTTTGTCAGACAAACACATTGATTTCTGGACCACAGTAGAGGATGGAAACCTTTCACAAACTTATTTATTTGAAAATACAAATATAAAATTATACTTTCCACATCTGTGATGTGAGAGACTGCCATCCACATAGTATTTTTTTTTACAACAGGGCTTTAAGAAAGCCACACACAAAGACCTGAAAGATGCTTGAGATATATATATATATATAGATACATATATATGTATATATATATAAAAAAAATACTCACTACCAAAGTTCTTGTCAGTTTCATACTAAAGTACAAAAGTAAGGGTGAGGTCAGCCACAGTGCTAGGGGAAGTTTTATTTAGATACATTTATGTCCACATGAAACGCTTAGACTTGTATCCTATTACATATGGAATTCTGAGTTTAACACCATGAATGGCAGATTGGCTAGCCCACGCTACTCAAGAGCACACTCACAGACACCACACAGGGTGGTACAGTATGTACAGAATACAGCAGTAGGAGCCTTCCATGGAGGCTCTGGAACGCTCTCTCAGTCCTGCTCCCTTCCCCCCTCGTGCCCTGCCTCCCGGAAATGGAATCCTATCTGAGACAACACCTTCTGATTATCAAATAGCCATGTTTGAATTATGGTTGTTCCCCGAGAGGGGTGGGTTTTATTCATATGCTTGTTTTTGTATTTTAATTTACATTTTTTTGGTGAGAAAAAAAAAGAAAGAAAGAAGAAAACAAACTTAAACAGTATTAAAGTTTTGCTTCACTTCCAGCATTGCCTTGTATAGTGTCTGTGCCCAGGTCGGACTCTGCTGATCTTTGTTTTCTGCTGTAGCTGAGGGTGGGGGAGCTTCCCCAGTGTTTCTGCTCAATGTGCTAACCCGCGGCCTGCCCTCTTCTCTACTCTCTCTCTGCCTGGCCCGCTTTTGTGTTCCCTGGAGGATCTGGTTAGGAAAGCACAGTTAAGAAGGAAAACCAAAACCAAAACCAAAAAAATCTCTCCCCTCCCTCACCTGCTCTCTCCAAATTCCCTCTGTCCCTGTGTGTCACTTCCAAATGATAGAGAGAAGTATGAGTTAGTGTTTCTTTTGTAAACAATTTCATATGCAATATAATACAGAAAGCATGGCTGACCTTCTATAGAAAGAATGCGGTAAACTATATTGCTTTAGTCTTGAAGATGCTGCGGTGAGTGAACGGCAGAGGGAAGCAGGGTGTGGTAGTGGTGGAGGCCAAGTCCCCAGCCCTCGTTCCCACTAAAGATCAAAATAGCTTTTGTTTTTCTAGTTGGAATCAAAAATAATCCCCTCCAAATTTTCAAATGAAGAAACAAAGGAAAAACAAACCACCCCAAAACCAAAACCTCCCAAAACAAAACTGAACACCTTTCAGGTCATTAGAACCCACAATTATCCAATGATTTTTATACTAGTCTAGCAAGATGTGTGTAACATTCACCGGCTGTGAATTGCTGTGCATGGAAACATTAAGTGGACAGCAATCGAGCCATGCTACCTTAAAGCCCAAGCTACAAGTTCAAATTAAGAGAATGGTTATGAAGGATAAAAAAGCCTCAAAGGCCTATTGGGGCTTCGTCTGAATCAAGCCAATGAGCGATGGGGATAGTGTGAGGCTGTTTGGTTTTCCCAATGGGTATGAGGAAGGCTACAAACCACACACAGAGGCTCCTGGGGAGGAGACCAGGCTTGGTCATCTCCACCAGCCCACATCCAGGCGGAAGTAGGAAGGGGACCAAGAGTGAGTCTCTGTCATTCCATCTCCCCTCTGGGGAGGAGAGGAGCTTGGGGTCTCAGGCAGATGGATCTGGAAGCCAGAGTCCCCTGGTGGCTTTTGATAATGCCAGGGAAGTGCCGTTCCCCAAGAGGGTTTCTTCCCTAGGGAGAAGGTCCCCACAGTCGCTATTGAGCTCAACGGAAACAATGACAAGGATGAACATCAGTGTTAAAAGAACTTACAAAAACTGTTTAAGATGGACTTCTAGATGAGGAGGGGGACTAATGTGAACCTTAACCTAGGTAGCCACTTGAAAACATATCAGATGTTCACAAGATTTGTGCTATGGGCTACTGGGTCTCTTCAAAATGTATATAAACATCTAAAACATATTCACACAGATTATCAATTTCTTCTGAGCATCCTTAAAAAAATATTTTTTCTCTTAGTAAAATCATTTTAATATACCATGCCTCCCTCTTTTAAAAAATAAATTAAAAAAATCCAGTTTTGCATATCTAGTGTTTGCATTTAAGGTAGTATGGCACACCCCTTCACAGAGAGGGGGGCAGGGACCTAGAGTCGGCCGTCATTTGAACATTGTGAGACCTTGGGTTAGTTGAAACCACATCAAATCAGCAAAAATAAAATTAAATTTGAACTTGGAAAAAAAAGGAAAAAACTGCCCCCAAATTATTAGCATTTTTTTCTTTTCATAAATAAGAGAAAGTCCTATCCTTACTGGTCCTAAATCTGAATAACTATGTCTAATTTTTTTAAACCTTAATTACGTTATACCTATCAATATGTACTAGAAGAAAGAGGAGAAAAAAAGTCACTACGCTAGTACCAAGACAGCACGCTTACAAGATAGCCATTTTATACATTATTAACAAACAATGATCAACAAAGAGTCTTCTATGAGGTGATGGGGATGTGGAGAAATGGGTGGGGGTTGGGAGACAGGACATCACCCACATGGACTAAAGAGTAATTAATCCCCTAGCTAGACACTGATTGCTGGGAATTTAGTGTCTCTTTGTTGTTGTTTTTCAGAATAAAACTTCTACCTTGTTATTTTTTTTTACTTGAATAAGTTTTGCATTTTAAAAGCATCCAGCATTTTACTCGGTTTAGTTGTTTGGAAACAAAAACAAACAAACAAACAAACAAAAAAACAACCCAAACCCAAAACCTTCCCAAACAACCCAGCATTTTATTTAAAAAACAAAGAACATGATTTTCTTTCTTTCTTTTTAAGTTGCTTTTAATTAGAATTTAATTATGATGGAAGCAGGCTTCTTTACTTTCTTTCTGAATTAGCTTTTTGGAGGCTTTTAGGTTGAAGATGCTACCATGTCCATGAATGTCTATGTTAGTCTATTGTTAGTAAAATTTATAAAAATAGGAGTGCAGCAGTTCTTTATAATAAATGTCGCATTCAGTGTCTCATACTGGCTGTGCCTTAAGTACCAAATTTATAAACGTAACAATTTAAAAAATATTAATAAAATGTCAATATCACATTTTAAAAAAGAAAAAATATATATCCACACTACAATACGCTTTAATGCCACCTATTGAGTTGTACTTCTACAGTTGCTGTTGCCGACCTATTACCAATATTTTAAAAAAAAGTTAAATTAAAAAATATCCTTCATCCTAAGTGTCTTTCCCCAGCTGAGGACCATATAACAGCCAGATGTCAATCATGTGCAAACAGGAAACTGTCAATCATGTGCAAACAGGAAACTGTCCGTTTTTCCCACCAGTCACAGTGCAGTGATGTTTATACTTTTTATTTTTAAAATTCTGTTTACATCTACAATAAATTAAAAAAAATTCTTCCATAGCCTCTCTGATGATATTTGTAGCACTGAGGTATCAAAAAAAATATATATATAAACCAAAAGGTTGCTTTCCTAATTTGTAAATAGAAAGTGAATGGAGAAAGGGTGTATTCATGCAGGCTTATCCACTCCTGGCCCATGGGCCCCCTCTCTGGGGGCAGAATGGGGGACAGGGTGAGGAGAGAGACAGAGTACCCTAGGGCCCTTTGGAGGTGCTGAAATGATTGGACAATATAAAATGATCAGATATTTAAAAATTAAGACTGAAAAAGAATGTCCCCACCCTACCCCTCCCCTAAGCCAAAACAGGTGTGCTTTGAAACTTTAAATATGTTAAATATTAAAATTGTAGCTTTGTTTTTTTTTCCTTTAAAAAATGTCTTGGGAAAAGCAGTTTTTCATATTTTAAATAAAAATCTAGCTAGACCGTAACATTTAAGCTGTGCACGGAGAGGTTGCTGGGCTGGCAGGGTGCTAATGCGGTTCTTAGGTCTACCACACCAACAGAGGCGCTAAGAGTGGAGTCCCAGGTGGCCCGGGCAGCTGGGTGCCCTGTGTTGTGTAGTACCAGCTTCAGCAAGGTTCCTCCCTCCCTCCTTCCAGGGCACCTAACTGCCTGGGAGCAACTCCCCCACAAAAATATGTTTGATTCTCTTTCTTAATAGTTTCTATGTAGTTAATGGAATTATATTTACAACTTTTTTTGTTTGTTTTTTGTTTTTTAGAATTCACAATTTCAAAAAACCTTATAATATGACCTCTTTGAACAGAAAAAAAGAAGTACTCATAGAAAAGGAGGACCCTCAAAACATGGCCGTCCTTACCTTATTGCCGAAAATAGACTTAGGTTAACAAAGAGACGTCACAAAAATGAACTGCCAGAGAGTCTGTTTAGCAGCCAACTGCATGTCACTTCTACAATGTAACATAGAGAGCCTATGCCCACCTCCCGCTCCGCACATCACAACTCTGCTTAAGTGTGTGCTACAGTCCCAGATGAAAATTCTTACAGTCTCAGCATTGGTACCAAAAATGGAGAGTAACATCACCATCTCAGCATCCGTTAAAAGTGATAACAGAATCAAAACAAAACAAAACGAAATTCCTTTTAAAGCAAAAAAGAAAACTCCTTAATATATAACAAGTATACTATGGTTAGCTTTTCTCTAGGTATTAAGCTAAGGTGACACTAGACTAAGTCAAAAATCACTACCAAATGTGATTCAGGGAGATTTAAAAGGAGAAGGGAGAAAGGGAGTAGAGAGAGGGAGACCACCAAGAAAAACAAACAGAACCAAACCAAAATCATGGATTATATACACGTTTAAAAGCTGTTGTCATATATTACAGCAGGTTGGTGAGATGAGATGTAGTCAACCCTCAATCCAAAGTGTGCCATCTCTGCTTGGGATGAGGAGTGAGGCTGGTGGGGATCCAGGTCTGAGGACATCACCTAAACAAAGGGCCACTCAGAAACTTCGCCCAGTCTTGCCTGGACATCCAGGTATGCTCTGTAGGGCAGGGAGGTCAGGCGTGTCCCGAAGAGAACATAAATGGGGGAGGGAGGAGAAAGAGAAATGTCAGGCACACATATGGCTCATTTCAAGGTCTAGACTACAGCTGTCAAAGAACTAGGCTGTGTGACTCTGTGTGTGTGAAAATGGCTGGGAAGAGGACAGACAGATCTGACACAGGGCTGGAAAGTTCTGGAGGTCATGGTGGGAAGTAGGGTCAGCACAGGGTTCAGCTAGTTGCTCAAATCACACATGGACAGGAAACCCCTTTCTGTTTAAATTTTTGTTTTTGAAGCTATGTTTAAGAAAAAACTGGTGGCCCAGCACTCAGCAGGCAGAGGCAGGTGAATGTCTGTGAGTTTGAAGCCAGCCTGAACTACAGTACAAGTTTCAGGACAGCCAGACAAGCCAAAAACCATCACAACAAAATAAAAACAATCAAATAAAATAAAAATGTGATTGACTAAAAAAAATGTGAATTTGCACTAAGAGATTATATACTAAGGGACTGATGTAACTACTTAACAAACAAACAAAAACTTAAAACAACAACAAAAATAAAACCCCCAAATCAAATAACTAGTCCTGGTTCAAGAAAATCAAAACAGGTCCAGGATTCAGGTTTGCTAATTGGGTTATCCTGGATTGCCTATGGGCCTGGGCTCTTCTGTGGATGGTACTTAATGTCAGAGGGTCACTTCTGCTGGATACAAATGATGGGCCTGCCTGGTCTTTGACAGCTGCCATGCAGTCATGTGACTTGAGTAGGGGGTGGGTTTCAGACTGCTGCTTTCCTGGTTACTTTTTCATTGGGTAGAAACTGAGTCTTAGGGTTGGAAGATAGACATTGGCTGGCCCCAGCCTCTACCTTCCCTAGGGCATGTCATAGCAGCCTGCGAGGAGGAGCGGGGAGGGGGAGCTGTGGGTGAGAATGGACACTGGCAGCTCCAGTAGCTTGCATCCGAGGACAGGCTGCGCCTAGGCAGTCCTTGAGTCCCTCTTCATTTGACAGGTGAAGCCATCTTCAGCCCTCACAGTTCTTGGTCCTATCAGTCCCCCTCGCTTTCAGAGGCACCTCACTGCCCCCAAGTCCCCAGACCCAGCTTCATTAGTAGCGAGTAGCTCTCTGGAGACTGTTAGTCAGTGGCTCTGCCAGCGAAGGAGAGCAATGGAGGCAAGAGCCGGGGAAGTTCATACACAGGGTTTATGTGGTTAGGAGAGGCAGTGGAGTTAGTCGAGCAGCAACAGAGGAGGAATCTAAAAGATTTGTGGAGCTCAACTCAACTGGGTTTTTCAAATGGTCCCCATCTATGAAGTCTCAGTTGCTTCAGGGCTAGGAGCAATTCCCCAATTCCTCTCTACGAGAGGTCAAACTCTGCTGCCCCCCCTCCCCGCCAGCTCCAAGAGTCAAGAGCTAATGGGATTTTCCAAGTAGGACCTATTCCATGACTTCAGTCATCACCTTCCCTCTTCTAAAGAGACACAGTGCTTGCCTTCCTACCCTCCAGCTTATATGGCACCACAGGACAGACATCAGGAGGACAGATGACGGGCTTCTGTGAGGATGCCAGCCCTCTGCCTGGTGCTCTTCCCAAGCAGGACAGACATGAGGTTTTGGATGTGGTAAGAGGCTTGCTCCCTGCCTGTTCTCTCCTGGCCCACCACCTCTGCATTTCCATCAAAGTGATTTAAAAATGTTTAATTAACTTGAGCTCAGTTTAAAAGGTTAAGAAACTGGCAGGGATCCAAATTCACGTTAGGCAGGTGATGCTGTTAATTTAATTTGCTTTTCGTGTGGTAATCTTGATAATTACTCCATAGTTAGCCGGGAAGAAATGTTTTCTTTTCATGAAAAGATGGAGTCAGGCCGTTTGGCTGTACGAACCCATTGGCTGAGCCCCAGGAACACACAGGGTCAGTTCACAGGACTTTGAGAATGGTCCTGCACCCCATCCCCTGGCCCTGGCCCTAGACCAGTTAATCCGCCTCTCCACCTCCTTGGAGTGGGCACAATGTGAGATCACCTTCCAGTTTCCCACACTCAAGAAAGACAAAGATGAGGATGGGAAAGACACAGAAATGGGACCAAAGAACCAAATCAAAATGAACGGGGGTGAGGGGTGGGGTGGGGAAGAGGCACATGAAGGTCATGATTAAAAGTTCGAGGAAGAAATGAGAGCCTAAGAGATTGGATTTTTTTTTGGTCCCCACTTCCTGGGAAAGGGGTCCAGAGGGGGGGGGAGAAGAAAGAGGTGGATGTGATGAGATGGGCATGTGTGTACACGTATGAGCAGGGCACATATGTGTACGGACACACAGGCAAGGCGGAGACGCATGGCAGAGACGGTAATACCTCAGAGTGGGATGGCAACGGGAGCACCTGCTCAGTGGTATCCATTTGTAAAGGCCGTTGCAATCAAAGGTCCCTAAAATTGCACAATTGTTAAGGTCATCAGTGCGCTATACATGGGAACAGATTGTCATACTCTGGGAGAGGAGATCACCTCTAGGACTAGTCTGTGGTTGCCAGCATGAATATGTAATTCTGAGACACTGTGCCATGGGGAGTTAGGGTGACACCGGCCCCAGCTCCCTCCTTTCCTGTCCTGTGATTCCCACCCCCCAAGCTTGTATACTGCCCAAGGGGAAACCAAGAGCCAAACTCTGAGGGACCCATGCCCCAAACAATGCCCACAGTGACCATGAACCTCACAGGGCAAATTCAAGGGTCTCTCTATCCTCGGTCTCAACAGATGCATATGAGGGAGAAATGTTGGTGCTGATCAATGGTGATGGCCTGTGATTATTTCAGAAATAACATCACAGTGTGAAGGTGCCAAGACCCAGGTTTTCAGGAACAAACAGGGTGTGTGTTTCTAGCTGCTGAAAAATGGAAATGAGTGGTGTTCTGAACGCTGATGGACAGGCCCCCAAATTGATGCAGCTCTGGGCTGAATAACAATGTTCTGGATTTGGTACTACAGTTGATCCGAGGGGATTAGACTCATCAAACTACTGATTCAAGTAATACTGGCTTTGGAGGGAATAGAAGGACGCTCAGGAATCACAGGCCAGGGTTGGCTGGCATGCACAAGTATGTGAATATCTGTGTCTGAGTGAGAAAGTATAAGCCTGTGTGTGTGTGTGTGTGTGTGTGTGTGTGTGTGTGTGTGTGTGTGTGTGTGTGTGTGATGTTCCTCCAATGCCAGGAGGCATGAATAAAGTTGCCTTCGTCCCCCAGGCTCTCACAATGGCTTTGGTCTCCCCAGCTCGATCCCAGAGACAAGAGTTTGCCTGCTTTCCCCCAGATACAGAATCTGCTGCAGGATGTAACCCGGGACAGCAGACACCCCCATCTCAACTCAAAATCAAATTGCCTCTGAAAGAAGAGGCTGGCTAGGGCAGAGACTGGCCCATTTTTTTGTCTGTTTCCAAAAATGGGGGGGTCTGCCAGCAAGTGGGCTCAGGCACATTCATGCTCACACACCAGGAGGGAAAAGAACAATACAATCTAAAAACAGCATGCAAATCTCTTAAGCAAATCTCCATTGCCTGGATTAGTCAGATTATAGAACCACAGAGCATTACAGATATCAAATGCATCTGGCCTTTGGGGGCTGCAGCTAAAGAACAAAAAGGGGAACTTACTTGGAACCTGGAAACTGTAAGAAACATTAGCAAAAGAATGGCCTGGGAGGGAGGGGCTTCCCACTACCACCCTCAGGCACTACTGCCACCAATGGCGGGGGTGGGGGTGGTGGGGGTGGGGTGGCCTGCCCACTGAGGTGAGGGGAATGGCAGGAAGAGTAACTGTATGCCAGAACAACATGATTTAGGCTATCTGTTCAGTCTCACTTTGGGGAGTGGGGTGGGGGGAGTATCCTATTCTTACTTTGTAGCCAGGGTCATGGTATGAGTGGTTCAAGGTTGCAAAGGTCAAAGGTGATGGAGTGATGAGTAGAGCTGTCCGTACACCTTACACTCCCTGGCTGGGCCAGCAGATGCGAGCTTCAGCTGGCCTGCTGTTGATGGGGGTCACCCTGTCTCTTCTCTGCCCTTATGCCTTTCCTCCCCAGGGGCTGTGTGGAGTTGGTGAGGAAGGAGGAGGAGTGGGAAGGCAGCGAGGGAGGTACTTACAGCTATGCCGTGGCCGAAGCCTGAGCCAGGCTGTGGGCTGGCTGCACTTATGTAATTCCCCACTCCGGAGTCCTGGCTGGCAGGGCCGTAGAGATCGGCGGCGACAGGTCCTGGGCTGTTGGCCCCCGGGAAGCCTCCGGGCCGCGCCGGGTTGGAGCCTGCCGGGGAAGCGGGCGCGCCAAAATTCGGTTGAGCACTGTAGCTATTCAGGACTGGTGTGCAGAGAATAGAGCTGGGTATGAGGCCAGAAGCCAGGCATGCACTGATCATTACAAGCCAAACACTCGAGGAAAAAAAAAACAGCTGAGGCCCAACTTCTAACACTCAACCAAGGCCATGCGAAAACATCAGCAGGGACTCAAGAATACTCAGCCCAGGCTATCACTAAGAAGCTTGGAGCTCCAGAGATAGATAGAAGAAAAAAAAACAATCATTCAACACAGTATGGCAACCAACCGGAGGTGCTTCGCTGCCCACCGAGTTATCACAATAGAAATAGATATATATGGAGAGAGAGAGAGAGAAAGAGAGATTTTTTTTTCACATCTGAATTGACGCTCATGCAGTCTTCTAGATTTGGGCACGTTGAGACAGCATTCACATCCCATGCAAACTACAAAGGAACTAGTTTTAGACTACACATTGTGTTAATATTGATATTAAAACATGACAGGAAACAAAAGCAATTTTGTGTCCTTGAAAAAAAATCTTTGGGAAAGGGATTTTGGATTCATTTTTTTTCTGTGTATGTGTGTGTGTGTGTGTGTATGCTTCATTTTGTTTCTCTTTGTTTTTGGATCCATTAAATGACCAATTTGTGTGTGTGTGTGTTTTTTTCTTAAAGACAAAATAGAAAAGATCTCTATTCTGCATCCCTCCTCCTCCCCCCTCCCCACTGGCTACTCCCTCCCTCCCCACCCCTTCCATTTATACCCTGCATGAAAGTCGGCAATACTGAAGTGGTCACAGGATGGGATATGTCATGGAAAGTTTGGGCATCTTAACTTAACAGCAATGATGGCGGCAGAGTCCTCTTTTGGGGTGCAGAGCAGGGGATGGAGGGAGGGGATGGGGTGGGAATGGTTAGCTAAGGCTGGGGTGGAGCCAATGGTCCTAACAGGATACCCCACACTCACCTCCTGCAGGAGAAGGAAAGGGAGGGAGGGATTTAAGCTTTTTTTCCTTTGGTTTAGAAAAAAAAAAAGACAAAGAAGTATGAATGCAGAGGACACTAACCAAACCAGCCGACAGCTAAAGCCCGTCTGACCGCAGCGCATTTTGGTAGCATTATCTCAGGTAGAAACTCCAGACTGGGAAAAGCAAAGCTCAGAATGCACTTGGTTGCAGAGGGAGACCCGGCATTCACACAGCCAGAGACTGAGCACTGTGTCTGGGGGAGGGGCAGCCAAAGGTTATACCACCTTAGGCTTCATTGTCTGTCCTTAACCCCATCACACTTTCCAACTGAGGCCCCCAGACTGTCAAACAGGTGAACTTTGCCTCAGCTTTACACCCTTAGTAGATTCAACTTTACTTTCTGTTTAAAAAATTTTCCACCACAGGCCTTGGGTGGTGGCGCACACCTTTAATTCCAACACTCAGGAGGCAGAGGCAGGCGGATCTCTATTAGTTCCAGGCCAGCCTGTTCTACTGAGAGAGCTCTAGGCCAGCAAAGGCTACACACTGAGATCTTCTCTTAAAAAAACAAAACCAAAACTCCCCCTCCCCCAAGCCCCATACAAAACCCCAAACAATTTCTATCATAAAGGCAAGCTCTTATTGGTTTTGAGATCTCCAGTGAGTGCCAGGCTGGCAGCTGCTAGCATGTTTAGAAGAAAGCTCACGTCCCCCTCCTAGCTCCTGTGGCATCTCTCCTCTGCCCTGTAACAGCTGTCTTCCAAGGCAAAGAGAGCATCTGAAGTGAAGAGTGGAGTCCCTCTTCCGAGGACCTGTAGCTGGAGGACCTCACTCCTCTTGTGAAGAACGTGAAAGTGGACTGCCCCCCCCACCTTGCATTTGTCATAGGAGTGAGAAGAGATGCATGATACTGCACTTGAGAAAGGGGACACAAGATCCAAGGTGGCCCAAACCGAGCTGGGCCTGGCTCTGCCTCAGCAGAGGAGGAGTGCTGCTGCCTCTAGATGCCCTTGGGCAGGATGAGCCCCTCTGAAGCACTGGCCCAGAATTTCATAAACAAGACAATGGGAGAGTGGGTTAAGGAGGAGGGCAGGGTAAAGAGGCTTAAAGCAAGTGAATCGGTTATTTGGAGGTGTACTGGCAGACCAACAAGACAGCGGAATTTTTGAATAAAGAAGAGTAAACCTGCAGACAACATTTGGCGCTTTTTGCCCATGAGGCAACTATGCAGCTGAGATATCCACAAGGCAGCACTATCCTGGTGGAACATACCTTTTCCACCTGGGATCGGCAAATGTACAGAGCTAGACAGTGGGCTCTTGGTCTACCCAGGCACCAACTCCCTCTCTACAGCTTGCTTTGACTTAGGATAAGAGGGTGGGGTAGGGCGGGGAGAGTTTGCAAGTGGAAGATGGAGGGAGATTTTTCAGCTTCTTTCTCCTCTGGTAGGATGTGTTTCCAGCATGGTACTAGATGGGATGGAGAGAAGGCAGGAGAGCCATCTGGAGAACTAATCCAGCCAGAGAAGGACAAGGGCAGCATGCCCATGGAAGAATGGTGTCCAGAGAGACTTCCATGGAAGGCTTAGAAGGCAGGAGGGCTGCTGGCAATCTCTCCACCCTTGGCAACTTTTCTGGTTCCATGAGCACCTGGAAGCCTGGTGCTTGAGGTGGTCTGGAGGGAATTTCACATTGAGCTCACCTTAGGCTTACAGCACCCCTTCCTATGCAGTCATATGTCATCAAATGATACTAACAGCATTATGGAAAGAAAGGCGCTGTCCTACAATGTGGCTTCCTGCCACTCCCAGGTCCATTATTATGCACTTGCTCAGCCCAAGCCCCAGTGAAGGGTGGAAGACTTGGCTGGCGGGCAGAGGGTACAGTGGGCAGGCAATAACCACTAGTTCCAGGTTGGTCCCCTTCTCCAGGGACAGCAGAACCTATGCCCTGATGGGTTTGGCTATGGAGGAGAGATGTCTCTTCAAGTTCTGCAGTCAACAACTGTGTCCCCTGTGGCAGAAGAACCACACTCCAGTTGGCAAGCAACCTAAGCATATTTGGGAACACTCTTCAGAAAGGGACACGGATAGACACTTGGTTCTGATAGCCAGCCAGAAGGAAGCTGGGACAAAGGACTTTTTTTTCCTGGAAATCAGCACAGTTCCACATATTGTGTACTACTTGGCTGCTTGGTAACCAGGTCACCCGAGGACCCTCTCCTCCTCCAAGCTGTAAGAGGCACAGCAACAAGCAAGAAGCCAAGTTCCTGTGAGGGGCTCTCTGTGAAATGGAGGACTCTTCCCTAGGCACCAAAACTCATTTGAAGGGAGTCAGGTGTGGTCCCCCACCCCAGGACCAGGTTAGGATGAAGAGAGGTGATGTCATTTTTTTCATGTGTATAGAAGGACATCTTGACTACTGTGTGGCTAGTTCAGCTGTATTGCATCTTTTTTTGGTTTTTCGAGACAGGGTTTCTCTGTATTGTTTTGGAGGCTGTACTGGAACTCACTCTGTAGACCAGGCTGGCCCAGAACTCACGGAGATCCGCCTGCCTCTGCCTCTCGAGTGCTGGAATTAAAGGTGTATTGCATTCTTGTGTGTGTGTGTGTGTGTGTGTGTGTGTGTGTGTGTGTGTGTGTGTGTGTGTAATATCTAGAAATATCAGCATGTCTGCAGCAGAAGCTGAGACTGTTACATAGCCTAGGACAAGTCCTGTGCTAGGTTGACAGTTTGGGGAGCTCACTGTGGTAAGCAGGCTCCCTTCCCAGTCAGCAATTCTGAGCAATGCCCACAGTCCTGGTTAAGTCTAGGTGGTTCCTCCTTCTGCACCTGGTCCCCAGCGTCCTCCAGGCAGTACCCTCAGGAGGGAGGCATAATGGAGAGAGAGGGGACACTGGACTTGGAGTCAGAAGAACTGAGTTTGACCCTGACCCTTCCCTGACACCTGTGTGCCCTGGTCCAGCCTGTGTCCTCATCTGTAACACACGAGTAATGCGTCCCTTATTCAATCCGAGTCACCAGGCTGCTGTGCGAATGAAGAGGAGAAAATGCTCTGTGACTTATCGGGTATATGCAGAGCCCAACACAGGTACTGTAGCATACTTAGCAGAATCCAATAAAGGAAACTGCAATCCATTTGCCATACAAACCTGAAGGTGATTTACAAAAGGGTCCAATCCATCCATTTGGTGCATTTAATCACCCTGGGCCTGAAGAAAGGGCTCTTGGGGGAGGGACAACCTGAAAAGCTGGGACATTTGCCATGACTCAGAAGGACAGCAAAGCAAGAGGAATGTGTCTGAATAAGAGTTGGAGGCATTTTAAATGAAAAGCTTCCTTATGCTCAAGAAAACACCTGGCTGGCTGACCCAATGAAGCTCTCTTATCTCACGTCAGAGATGTGAGCAGAAATGGACCAGCAGCCTATGCTGGGAATGCAGACCCTTGCCTGGGGATGCTAGGCTAGAGCTACACTTCTCAAGTGAGCCAGGGGGCTACCACCTCTATGTGGCTGGCTTACCTGTGGTCAGGAAAGGGCTGGACCAGGTGTGATTACTCCCTGGGAGTAGGGGAGTGCTGTGAACCACATGGCCATGTTGTAGGTCTAGGAAAAGACCTGGCATTTCTGTACTGTCTGACACTGGGCAGAATGTGAAAGGGGTCCCAGACGAGGAAATCCACTAAACCACCCAACATCTGAACTTTGCCTCCTCATCCACCCTGAGGTCAAAATTAAATAGGGAAGCCGAAGGCTGGAAGCAGCCTCTCCTCTCTAACAGTTTGGTGAGTCCAGGCCAACTCCACTGAGAAAGTACCTTGGCCTGTTTTGATCTGAGAACTGCCCTTGCCCTTGAGGCACATCATCTACCTAACTTACCAAGGAAGAAACCAAGAAACTATGGTTCCCCACGTGTCTCCAGTCACACCCACTTACTGCTATGCTGCTACATGCTCAATCCTGAAGCCCCATCCCTGTCTGCCCCAGCCAGAGATCCTTATACGATACCCCTTATATGACTAGTATACATTTTTCTGTACTACAAACATGCTGAAGGATTAGGAAATCCAGGGCC